CCCTTCTTTCCTCATTATATCTAAACCATTATGTCTTCCAGTTGAAACTGTTATCAGTTACTTCCAAACCACTTTCAGGCCATGAGCTGGGCTGGCCAGCAGCACGAAATTCAGCAGAATGGATTTGGCACTCTCAGGTGGACTTACATTTGAGCTGAGATTGGATAGTAAATGAGGTATATAATTGACGTTCTGTACTATTCACTACCAAATTTGGACCAAGCTCTTCTTGAGCTTGGTATTCATATATTCATGGAATCTCTGCATTCTGGCTCTATCCCAACTTCTACTGCTCTCTACACCAAGAACCCGTATAAGCAACTATTTCCTAAGAGTGTTTGTTATTTAAAAAAAACACCCCCCTAAATCTTACTCGTCTTCAAAATAGAGCTCAATTACACTTCCTCAACAGTTTTCTATTGATTCACCCTTCCTGTACTTTCCCAGCACTCAGTCTTTTTGCCACTCACTTTAGAACCTCATCACACCTCCTATAAGCTTTTCTAAATTCTCACAGCACTTATTAACTTCACCCTTCATTTAACACTCTTTACTAAGTCACATATATACTAGATATTATTATGGCTTACACACACTAGGTGTGCCCAATTAGCCAATCCATCATAGCACAGCACTCTATAGTTCTCTATTACAGAGCTGTTTACATAACATCATAATTGCTTGTTTATATATATCCCCCTTATCCAATAAAGATTATAAACTTCCTTAGGGGCCCTGTGCTAAGTTTCTTAGTACTGCCAAAGCCAAACATACTGCTCATAAGAATATACCGTAAATAAATCCTTTTCAAATTAAAATTAGCTGAAAACAAGAGGATATAATCTCAACCAAAGATTGGAAATTTGTAGTCCATAGAATGAACTCAGCCAACAGACTTCTGTTTGGCCTGCACTGTATTTAAGAAAACTGGAATTAACATTTAAAAATTGGGAAACAGCACACAAAATCCAGATTTCTGAATTTTCGGGGGGAGGGGGGATTGTAAGATATGCCCTAAAATGCTGCAAGTGCCTGCCTAAGAGCACAGCAGTTCTACACTAGATGCGATCTTCAATCAGTCATCTTTTTTGCTTTACTCATTTATGTCACCTGTCTGGTCGGTGCAAATATGTAAATTTACAATCAGTGATACAGACCCATAACCCCTGATGGGCTTTCTAAGCCACTTATTCAAATTTGGGGCATTTCTAGTCCCTAGCCACCATGTTTTTCCAATGCTAAACAGGTTTATCAAATCTGCTAGCCTTCTCTCATCCTAAATCTTGACAAAAGTACTCTACTGAATAGTAGTACCTAGTGGTAAAGCCAGAACACACAAGTTAGATGGATCACTACTACTTGGTTAGAATGATGCTTTTTTTGATTCATGCATCAAATTTTATTACGTACCTCCTCCACTGAAATACTGTTACAGTAGATTCTTATTCAAATTATACTGTTAACAATTGCTTCTCATACTGAGTCGGCCATTTCATCTTGGCAAATTAAATTCAATAAATATTTATACAGTGTTTGCAAAATTATAGGCCCTGTGTAATGGTTAAGGCATAAGATCTGAAATCTCCAAATCTGCCAAGTCTGATACCAAATCTTATCTCCTCCATTCTCTGAGAAACTGCAAAGTTACTTCTCTAAGCCTCAGTTTTTTTACTTTTCAAATTTGGACAGTAACAGTACTTATTTCCTAAGAATGTTGTGTGACTTAAAAAGACAAAGACAGGGGCGCCTGGGTGGCTCAATCGTTAAGCGTCTGCCTTCGGCTCAGGTCATGATCCTGGGGTCCTGGGATCGAGTCCCGCATCGGGCTCCCTGCTCGGCGGGAAGCCTGCCTCTCCCTCTCCCACTCCCCCTGCTTGTGTTCCTGCTCTAGCTATCTCTCTCTCTGTCAAATAAATAAATAAAATCTTTAAAAAAAAAAAAGACAAAGACATAAGGCAATCTGGCATATAGCACCTGACACACAGAAAACAATAAAAGCAACTGTCATTTAAGTATTTGAGTACAGAAATAAAAAACTAATGAAACAAGGTATCTGAACAAAAATCTAAAAGTTTATGATACTGTTATTAATCAAGCATATGGAAACCCAAAAGAGATTAGTTCTACAGGGAGGAGAGAGGGAACATATGAGCTGAAAGAAAAATAGGGTAAGGCCAACTAGAAAAAAGGGCAGAAGAGAGAAAGTCCAAGGACAAGTAAGAGACAAACAAAAGCAAGGGAAAAAAGAATCACATTTTTATATCCAGGGACAGCTAATAAGCTGGAATGGGGGGGGGGGGGGGTACATGAGAAAAGACTAGAAAAAAACGCTAGGAAAGAAGGCTGCGACCAGGATTCAGGATTTCATTCAATCCACATTTACTAGGCTTACTAAATGGAAGCACTGTGCTAGGAGATGGAAAAGAGGTGGATATATAAAAAATCCTTCCCAGGCGCCTGGGTGGTTCAGTCAGTTAAACGTCTGCCTTCAGCTCAGGTCATGATCCCAGAGTCCTGGGATCAAGTCCCACATCAGGCTCCCTACTCAGCAGGGAGCCTGCTTCTCTGCCCCTCCCCTGGCTCGTGCATTCTCTCTCTCTGCGCGCGCACGCTCGCTCACTCTCTTTCTCTCTCAAATAAATAAAATCTTTAAAAAAAAAAAAAAAATCCCTTGGGATGCGTGGGTGGCTCAGTCAGTTAACCATCCGCCTTCGGCTCAGGTCATGATCCCAGGGTCCTGGGAATGAGTCCCACATCGGGCTCCTTGCTCAGTAGGGAGCATGCTTCTCCCTCTGCCTGCCTCTCCCCCTGCTTGTGCTCGCTCTCTCTCTCTTTGACAAATAAATAAAATCTTAAAAAAAAAAATCCCTTCCGGGGCGCCTGGGTGGCTCAGTTGGTTAAGCGACTGCCTTCGGCTCAGGTCATGATCCTGGAGTCCCTGGATCAAGTCCCGCATCGGGCTCCCTGCTTGGCAGGGAGTCTGCTTCTCCCTCTGACCCTCCCCCCTCTCATGTGCTATCTCTCATTCTCAAATAAATAAATAAAATCTTTAAAAAAAAAAAAAAAAAATCCCTTCCCTTGACACTTGACTATCTGGCACGGTGTGTAGCACATCACCAATGCATAGTAAGTCAGTAAATAGGGGTGCCTGGGTGGCTCAGTCATTAAGCGTCTGCCTCCAGCTCAGGTCGTGATCCCAGGGTCCTGGGATTGAGCCCCGCGTTGGGCTCCCTGCTCCGCGGGAAGCCTGCTTCTCCCTCTCCCTCTCCCCCTGCTTGTGTTCCCTCTCTCGCTGTGTCTCTGTCAAATAAATAAATAAAATCTTAAAAAAAAAAAAGTCAGTAAATATCTTTTAGTAAATCTAGACAAATAAAAAAGACAAAGCTGTTGAGATAGGAAGGCTTAAGAGAAACAAGAGTAACTACCATCTAAAGTTCTCTAAACTCCCTTCTTCCACATGCACAAACACACACCCTACATAGCATACAACTGGATAATTCCTAATAGGAATATAAACATAACATGTGCAGACACAAAAGAAAGTTAAGTTGAATTATTTGTTGTAGAACATAAATTAGGTAGGAAAGCAATCTGATGGTTCATCAAAAAGCTTAGATGAGGAACTAGGACTTCTTAAAGATCTAGGGCTGGACAGGAATGATACAAGATGAACCTGGAACATCTTGTTGTGTCAGAAAGTTAAAAAGTACTAAAGAAACAAAATAACAGGGCCATTTCAAAAGGGCACAATGGCCAAAGCTGCAACAATCTGATTAACAAATAATGACAACACAAAGAAAAAATATCCATGAGTGCATACAACACAAATAAATGACTAAGTAAATAAAAGGAAAAGACTAAGTCTTCCACACAGAAGAATCCCAATTAATAGAGAAGGAATGGAGAAAAGAAAAAATCACCACTAGAAAACAATAAAAACCTGCTATACAAATGCTAAATTAATGAGCAAAAGTTTAAGAACAGGGTACTTGCATACCCTCAAAGTAGCTCCCAAAACACTTTATAATTTACAAAGCAATAAATATTAATTTTATAATGGAGAAACCTGGAAGACATTACCTTAACCAAAGAACCAGGTTAACATTACCAGTTATAAGACATACTAACATCAAGTACTTCTTGATACGACATACAGAGAGAGGCACATTATCTCTGCATTATCCTTCCCCAAAATGCATTACCTCAGTTTAACCATGAAAAAAATCAGACATATCCAAACTATAAAACATACTATACAATACCATTCTACAAAATATTCTACAAAATACCTGACAAGTACTCTTCAAAAGTGTCAAGGTCATAAAAGACAAGAAAAGACTGAGGTACTACAGATGAGAGGAGACCAAGGAGACATGACAACTACATGTAATGCGGGATCCTAGACTAGATCCTGACACTAGGAGAGAAACTAATCTGCATGAAGTCTGTAATTTACTTAGTAGTTAACAGTACTACTTACTCAAAAGTACTGTACTAACATTAATTTCTCAGTTTTTATCACTGTACTATGCTTATATAAGATGTTAACATAGAGGAAGTGAATGAAGAACATATGGGAACCCTTTGGACTATTGATTTACCCCTTCTATAAATCTAAAATTCTTTCAAAATAAAAGTTAAAAAAAAAAATCTTAGATGATGAAAACAATACTAGTTGTAATACTTTTTTTTTTAACCAAAGACTATCAACTTACCTGAACTGTAGGTATTATTTTCCAGTGAATGCTACATTATCTCTGTTTTTACTTTATGCTCTATCAGTCATGTAACATAATACAGCTTTAATAAATTGGTATTTTACCAAAAATAAAGTTAATCACTTAATAAAAAACATTTAATTACCTTTTCTGACATCTTAAAAATGACTAATAAAATTTCACTTTTTAATCACAGAAGCCCCCACAAAGCTTTATCTGTAATAGAAGCTAGTGTTATTATTGTTTATAGCATAAAAATAATAATTTAAATAAAATCCTTACCTTCCAACCACTGCCAGCCTCTCTATAATATGGGAAGTTATCACAAATCCACTGGTAAATCTCACTTAGAGTCATTTTCTTTTTGGGTGAGCTATTAATTGCAAATGTAATGAGGCTGGCATAACTGTATGGAGGTTTCCCATCTTTGTGCTGTTGGACTTCTTCCTGGTCCAGTGTTGTATTTGGGTCAAGGAGCGCATTCTTCTTGGAAATTCCTGTTCCATGTGCATTTTGTGTAGCATCAGATTTTTGGATGGCTGCTCTCATGGTGAGCTGTGGTAACCAGTCCATAGATGTTAGGCTGCTCTCCAGTTCAGATGTCATCCTGAAGGTAAATAGACTCCTTAGTCAGTATCAAGGAAAGAACCCCTGCTTCTCAAAATATCCAATATTCACAAATCTAGGAGTTCCAAAGTGAGGGAAAGCCTGAGTTAAATCTGGAGGAAAAAGATTGAGTATGTTAATGACCAAAACAAATATTCAAGGGCTCAACATTTCCAATCTTTTTAAATTTTTTCCTCTCCAAACACAACAAATTTGGTTTTAAAATGTTTAGATACGGAACAATACATACACACAAAGTGATCCCAATGCCAATGTTTCTAAAAAAGACTGTCACTTTAAATAGGGCAACAGGATCATAGTATGAAAAATAAGTCCGCAGTCCAGCTCTTTACTCACCAACACCACAGGCCCTTTAAAACCTTAAGATTGGCATTTCTTTTACACAAATTTTAGGGGAGTCATACAAACAAAAGAATACCTAAAGTAAAGAAGTCAGAGAAGTGACTGAGAAACAGGCACAGGAATTTGCAAGGAGGAAAGAAGGTAGAGCTGAGCAGGTGGGAGGTAGGAAAAGCAAGCAGGGTAGACAAGAATAGTAAGTAGACAAGCTAGCTGGGGGAGCTGACCGAAAAGAGGAATGCAAACTCAAGGACACTGATGAACAAGAGGAGGATAGGCAGCACCCAGGCAGTTAAAAAATAAAAAATAGGGGCACCTGGGTAGGTCAGTCATTAAGCGTCTGCCTTCGGCTCAGGTCATGATCCCAGGGTCCTGGGATCATGCCCCGCCATCAGGCTCCCTGCTCCGCGGGAAGCCTGCTTCTCCCTCTCCCACTCCCCCTGCTTGTGTTCCCTCTCTCGCTGTGTCTCTCTCTGTCAAATAAATAAAATCTTTTAAAAAATAAATAAAAATTAAAAATCCACAAAAGTCAAGGAACAAGCTTAAGAAAACTAAAGATCTGGGAGTGTAGGACAGATGAAATTAAATCATATAAATGAACAGCAAGAAGCATTAAAAACTCAGGGCAGGCTAATACAAACATCTAGTGATCTGGATTCTGTAACATATTTCTCTCCAAGGCTCAAAAATTCAGACCATTACAACCCAGAGAAAGAAAAAATAAATAAAATCTGCCAGATTAACACATTTTCTGGAGAAGGGAAAAGCTGCTTGAAGAACTGAAGATAAAAATATAGAAACAAAGCTTGACACTTCACACTGGAATTGCTAACTTTCAGCTGAGGATACAAACCTTTCTACCACGGGATCAAAGAAACAGGAATAATAGGGTAGAGAAGAATGAAAGACTTCTAAGTGATATCAAAATAACGAGAAAAAAGAAAACAAGAAACCTGAAGTACCTCAGTGAAAGAAAAAATCTGTGGCAAATAAAATCCAGTATAGGCCCTCATCCCAAATGGCTGCAAGCAAAGAGCAGCCTGGAATACGTGCTTAGGATAGGAACTTCTGGGAGGCAATACAGAACTGATAAAGAACATAGGCTCTCAAGTCAGGCAGATCAGAGTTCAAGTACTAATTCTACTAGTTACAGCTGCAGGAAATTAAAATATTAATAAATATATCTAAACTCCAGCTTTCTCTAGGGATGCCTGGGTGGCTCAGTCTGTTAAGCATCTGAGCTCGGCTCAGGGTCCTGGGATTAAGCCCTGCATCAGGCTCCTTGCTCAACAGGGAGCCTGCTTCTCCCTCTCCCTCTGCCTGCTGCTCCCCACTGCTTTTGCTCACTCGCGCACGTGCGCTCTCTGACAAATAAATAAAATCTTTTAAACAAACAAACAAGCTCCAGCTTTCTCATCTGTAAAATGAAACTAATAGTTCCTACAGTTAAAATATTACTTTGAGTGGGCACTTGGGTGGCTCAGTCAGCTAAGCATCTGACTTCAGCTCAGGTCATGATCTCAGTCAGGGTCTTGGGATGAAGCCCTCCCTGCATCAGGCTCTCTGCTCAGCAGGGAATCTGCTTCTCCCTCCGCCCCCCCCCCCCCCCGCCAGCCCCAGCATGCTCACTCTGGCGCGCTCTCAGATAATTTTTTAAAAATTAAAATATTACTTTGAGAATTAAATGTGGTAGCATATACATAGGAAAAACATCCGTTAAGTATTAGTTAATAATATTACTATAGGATTATCTGGCGAGGGTACTAATGCAGTATAAAGTAAACCAGATTAAGCAACAGCAATTATAAATCAAGAGACAGCCATGAGGATTTTATCTGCACTGCCAGTAGAGTCCTATTATCTTGCTCTTAGATCATCCACAGCTTTACCTTTTTCACTTTCTCAAATTCCCTCCATCTCTACTGCATATATTCCTCTGAAATCTGAACTTTAAGTTCTCTATACAGTACCTTCAGAGATCAAAAAACCAAAGACAAAAAACAAAACAATAAAACCCTTACCATTATGCTCTATAATCGCAGCACTGTATGAAATGCTCATTGCTAGCATGAAATAAGTTACAGGAACTTATGGAATAAAGAAAACAATGTAGGGGCGCCTGGGTGGCTCAATCGGTTAAGCAGCTGCCTTCAACTCAGGTTATGATCCCAAGGTCCTGGGATTGAGCCTGCGTGGGCTCCATGCTCGGCAGGGAACCTGCTTCTCTCTCTCTCCCCCGCCCCACCTCTGCCCTTCCCCCCACTCATGTTTTCTCTCTCTCAAATAAAATATTTTTTTAAAAAAAATTAAAGAAAACAATGTAATTTAGACATCACAGGTTGTCAAATGAGTTGGGCAAAGTACGCTAGAGAACAGAAACCAATCACTTCAATTTAAAGATGAAAAACTAAGGTCTACTGAAGTTAAAGACTTGCCCAAATTCACAAAGGTAGTTAACAGTAGAAGTAAAACCAGAGCCCAGGTCTCCCAATGCTCAATCCAGTAGTTTTTCTACCATACCTCATCTGTAAAATGAGCATAATAGTACCTACCCTCACTGATGAAAAGTACTGAGAACAGTGACTGGCAAATAGTAAGCATTCAAAAAATGTTAGCTACTGGTGGTAGTTATGCTAATAGTAGTTGCTGCTATTATTATTCATATTTCATTCTATAAACATTGGCAATTATTATACCATACTGTCATTCTATTTGCCTCAATTAAGGCTCCACTAGGTAGCTTTATTTTGTTCAAATTCCCAAAGGAGTCAGTCGCATATATTTTCAAAGTTAATATAAATGCACGTTCCAAACTGGAATATAATTGATACTGCAGATGCCCCCTACTGAGAACCATCTTTAACTTCTGTTTCCTTCCACCAGTGCCACTAATTGAGACTATAAGAGCCTCAGAAATATAATGTAAACATATAGTAAGTACTTAATACATGTTATAACAGTTAAGAATTTATAATTACACATGTACAGGGCTATTAGAGTAAAAGTTTGTACACACACACACACGAAGTATGATAAAATTCCTGTCCTCCAGGAAACTGTAGTCCAATTAAGAAGGTCAAACATAAAGAAGAACTGAAGAAAGGAAGGCTGAGCTCTGGGTGCTGCTAACAGTACAAAAACAGAGAGGACAACATGGACTACAGCCCTCAGAGGCAGAGAAGGAAGAACTTCAGCTAAGATTTGAAGAAAGTAAAGATCTCAACAGGCTAGAAAGAAAATGGTCCCTAGTTATCAAAGACACCAGGAGTAAGAATCACTCCACTGCTGTGCTTATCTTCATCAGTTCTGCTAGATCAAATCTGAACTATAAAATATCTATCTTAAATTTAAACTCTGAAAAAGTGGGGCTTCTGTTTGCAATTTATTAAATTTTATGTATTCTTGGTAGTAAGGTAAAAAGTGCTTCCATTGTTGGTGTGTCACCTGGTTGCCACAGCGGTTCTCCATTAAGCACGAAGAACACAAAAAATGACCATTAGGTATGACCAGATCATCAGTAACTTTAGAAAGAAACCTCTTAATGGAATGGTGATGACAGAAGTCCGCTTGTATAAGAGAACAGATGGTGGTAAATTTAAGAACAGCATGGGAGGCTCTGAGGAATCTAGTTATGGAAATCTGGTTAAGAAATGTCAGGCCCTCATTACCTCACCTCATTCCAAAAGCTTCCTAGCTGGCCTCCTAGAGTCTGATTTCTTACCACTCCTCTCTGCTAATCACCTCCAGAGTCCATGCATACACTCCCAAGAGAAATCTATCAGCACTGTTTTCATGTCATTGTGCCCGAAAACTTTCAAGGGTTCCCTTTTTCCTATTATACTAAATCTAAACTCATTTTCAACTACTGTAGTTTTTATTAATCTTTTATTAATCCTTCTCTAAATTCCTGGAGCAATTATAACCTCAATTTGGCATTTACCATGCTGTTTCATATGTATAATTGCATCATATGCCTAAGCTTACTACCCTCTCCCCCCCTCCCCAGTGAGAACAGTGACCATACAACTAATACTTCAGATGCTACCTAACACCACACCAGGTACATGTTATCTGAAAAATAACATAGTATTTGGATTAAAAACATTCCTTTCTGAAATGTCTTTCCCATCTAACACTGCCTAGCTGGCTTCTACTTTTTTTCAAGACTCAAACCAAACACTTCCCCCTCCAGAAAGCCTTGTCAATCCACTCTTATCTTCCATCTCCTAAAGTGAACTAGATCTTACTCCCATAGTAATATGTCAACACCTCTCTATCCCAGGACTTATACAAGATTATAACTATATCTATCTCCCCAGAGACCATGAGCTCTTTGGAAGAAGAAACTTTCTTACTCTTTTCTCTCTCTCCAATCCCTAAGAATATAATAAGTGAAGGGTCAAGAAATAATGGTTAAATGATTGAAACAGTTACTAGCCAATGAAGGTGTGGGTGTGATTCTTCCCAAACAAGTGAAACCATACACACTGACAAGCTAAAAGGAAGAGGCAAAAGAAAAAAGGAATCAATAGCATGAGGTAAGGATAATCACAGGACTGAAGTCATTTATGAATTGGAAAAAAGTATGACTCAGACTGACAAGTAGCACTAAACAGGAACAGAGACAGTTCCGGAATAGCA